CACAGAAGCCTGAGGAGCTGTCCCAGTCACTTCAGGTGCAGAGGAGATGCAAATCCCTTGCTCCTCTGTCATCCTCAGCAAAGCAAAATAACACTAGGGAACAGTTTGCTCTTGAAATCATTTTGCATTTTGCTTCATGTCCACTCACAAGAAATGCAGCTTCCAGGTTTGAAATTATTTTGTCAGGAAAGTAATTTGCATTAAATTACAAGTGAAAAAATGCCTGAGACCAGTAAGACATGCAGCAGCAACAGCAGCAACACGCAGATAGGTGGACCTACCACAGGACTTGGACAAAGGACTTTGCTGACAGCATCAAATGAAGAAAGTAAGTACCCACAGGGCAAGTATATGGCTTCAGTTCATGGCATGGATGCCTCTGATGGCTCACAGTCAGAATAGCAATTAAACTCAATAAATGAAAAGGCAAAAATCTCTGTTTTCACTTGTCTTTTCTACAGAATTTCAGGGAGCAGATCTCACTACCTTTTGTTATCATCAGGCAATATGAAATAAAACATGGTTCACACAATGAAAATTTCTTAGGTACTTGTATACAGAGGTAAATCTCTGTGTTTTCACTTAAATCTTCTCCTACTCTGACAGGACATTTCCCACAATAGTTACTTTTTCCACAGGATCAGAGACTCCAGATTTACACAGCAACTACAGCTGCTTCCCTGTCCACCCAGACACTAGGTCAGTGAGAAAAGTGTCCTAACCTGTGCCACTAATGCTACATCCTGCAGCACCATGGTGTTCCTCCAAGAATGCCCCAATTGCCTTCAATTCAAGTGTTATGTCAAGGACACCCTTAAGGCAGTCTCTCCCCGTGTGGATTGTTTTGTTCCCCTCCTTTCTTTCCTGGGGCTGGCCCCAAAGAGGTGCCACCACCCAGGGGAGCTGCACGTTGCTCCCCCAGCCCCATCCTGCTGCCTATTCGAATGCACTGGCCATACTTGAGTTGTGCTTTGAAGCATGTCCAGATTGCAGCCACATCCTGTGTTCAACCTGCACAAATACCTGAGTGGGTTTCATACGGTAGAAAAAAATGGAAAGAGTGATTTCATAGAATCAATCGCAGAATCATAGAATGGCTTGGTTGGAAGGAATCTTCAAGATCATTTAGTTCCAACCAAGCTGCCATGGGCAAGGACTACTTGCTCTAGACCAGGTGGCTCAAAGTCACATCCACTCTGGCCTCGGCCACTTCCAGAGATGGGGCATCCACAACTTCTCTGGGTGACCATGACCTCACCATCCTCACGGTAAATAATTTCTTCATAACATCTGATATAAATCTCCGGTCTTTTAAATTAAAATGGCTCCCCCTTGTCCTATCACTATTTCCACTCTCCTTTAAACATCAAAGGATTTTGTACAACACATCCTCACGTTCAGATGTCAGGTGGATATGCATGAGCAAGTTCCTCAAGGTGCTGATGAGCTTCTGCCTGCAGTGGTGGAGTCACAGGCAAAGTCATGGGAGAGACTGATGATTGATGGTTCATCACTAGAGACATCAAAGAGTTGGCTGCATGGATAAATTCTGCAAGATGACAGGCTCTGTCATTTAAGGGTTTGATTTGAATATGAAGGTAAGGAAATAGAAATAAACAGATGTTAGGGTGAAGACAGGATACATAAAAATAAAGCAAATGGATCTTCTAGGAAACCTTTTGAAGAAAAGTAGGGTTTTACCCCTTTGTTTGGTCCATCAAAGTAGGTGGGCCAGGAGAGAACTAGGCTGGTGATGCTTTTGAGCACACATTGTGATTTGACCCCGACCAGCAGCCAAGCACCCACACAGCCACTCACTCACATTCCCCCCCCCACCAATTCCAAACTCAGCACTATATGGGCTGCTAGGAAGAAACCTACCTCCATTCCACCAGATTAAAATAAACTAGATACTTAAAGACGCGTGTGAATTCAAGGGGTGCTAAGGCCTTTCCTGAAGTCTGAGAGCCGGTATTGCCAACGACACCTGAGATAAATCTTTAGGTCAAATTTAACCAAACTACCTCAGTTGCTAGTTGTTTCCAATGACTCTTTCATCCCAGATAGCACTGGATTCTGGTGAGATTACTACTCACCACTAACAGGAATGACAGGATACCAACTGAAAAAAACATTGGTGGCACTTCAGTTCTTGTTACTGTGGGAGCTGGAATAATGTTTTAAACCAGCAGCCGGGGACAATGAGAAATCACTGTTTTATGTGGCTGTGGGCATGGTGTTTACTTCCCTCCCCGGGTCAGCACAACGCTTCCTTCCCTGACAGTGGGTGCTATTCCAGTGATAGCCCTCTCTGGGGTGGCTTCGTGGGGGCCAAGGGAACTTTGCTGCTTGGCAGCAAAAGTTGCAAGTTTGGCCCACAGTACGTGACTTTACAGCTTAGCAGAGAGATCCAGCAGATGCAAGTAAATGAAGCCCGAGCAAAGTTTTTATTTCCTATAATAAGCAACGGAATGGGAAACATCAGCATGCACACAGACTAATGGGCCTTTGAGCAGTGAGATGTGATTAACTCATTTCAGTCAGCGCTGGGAATCTCAGCACCTCATTAGCTTTTTCATTAATGGTTACAACTAATACCTGATTAGTGTCTGTTTTGTCAGTAATGAGTTCTCCTTCTTAATGGAGAGAGAGTTTTCCAGTGGATGACAGTGAAAGGGAGAGGGAAGGCGCCCGCTGATTACTGTGCTAATGGGGCACCTCGCCATCGCCTGTCACTGACCCAACTGCCCTCCCACACCCTGGGAACTGGCCCTGCCACACTGGCACGGGAAAACGTGCACTGTGCCAAGTGCACTTAGCAAGTCAGAGGGAGTGGACCCAATTCTGTTTCCTGAAAATGGAATCAACCCAAACTCTGAGACAGTAGGTGGGAGAACCTTGGAAAGACTGTCCCCCTGCCTGGGCTAGTGGGTATCAGGGGCAACAAGAGATCTGAGATGCACAGTGATGGGAGAAGAAACACTGGATAGAGATAGGAAGCAACGGCTGCTTTCACACGGAGCTCAGTGATTTGTTTTCTACTAGATTTTTCTAGTAGACTTTAATAATTTCCCCACTAGAGCGTGCTGTTTTCCTGTTCCCATGAGTTATCCGGTGACTCCTGGTGCACTCAGCTCTCTCACAGCAGTGGGTGTCACATCATGGACTCAGAGCTTGTTCCCTCCTGGCACTACTATCTTCACAGCTGTAAGGCTTGGGATTTATTTGCTAAATCTATCCAGTTTGGCCTCTGGGTAAGAACTAAACGCAGGAGCCCACAGGCCATGAAAGGGATGAGGAGGAAGATGGGAGAAGTCCTTCAAGTCTTCATACCCTGAGGGTTCACATCAGTGCTGTTATCTCTACAGTTTTCCTTTCCCGTTTGAAAGGGGACAACAGTCCTAGCTAGGGAAGGGGGGGGGGGGAGGGGGGGGGGGTTTACTGACCCTTTAGAAAGGCTAACAAAAAAAAAAAAAAAAAAAAAGAAAAAGAAAATTCTTCCCTTGAAACTTAATTTCCTGACAAGGGACAAATATTTAGGGCTCTGTTGCAATGCTCAAATCATTTTAGTTTGGGATGTAAAAGACTTTAGTTATAGCAGATCAAAATGTCCTTTGTGGACCATAGAGGCAACTCAGTTGTTTCTAACAGGACTTTCATGTTATGCCACCAATATCATCAGCTTGTACAGTTTTGGATTTATTTGTTCTCAGCTGTAGTATCCAAATGTTAAATGAGGGACAGATATATTGTAAAAAGCAATCGATGTTGTAAATTAATTAGCAGGGTTCAATGAAAGCAGAGGCTCTATCTGGCTGCTGACTGCCAGCAGCACATATGCTCATGTCCTAGAGTTGAGGCAGAGGGGAGCATGCCATGGTCAATGGCAGGGATCTGGACTCGTCTCTCTGGGCAGCTGTGCTGGGTGATCACACCAAGTCCCATTGCCTGTCCACCGTGGGGGAGGGTGCCCCCGTCCCCAGCACTCTGGTACGTGGCTCTGGCTGGGCCACAACAGCATCACCCAGCATTCCCCAGATGGTTGCAGAGCTGCCTCCCACCTATCTCATGGGCTTGTGCCAGGCTTGTGCCAGGCTGAGAATCTAGCAAAAGGGACCCAGTGCAGCACACTCAGCCCACATGGGAAAGTTACACCTCCCATAGTAATGCCAGACCCTCGCCCTGGCATGAGGCAGTAAGTTCCCCTGTTTAAAACTGTGTTATTTGAACAGCTACTGCCTTTGGTTTTAAATTTCCTACCCAAACGCTTCATCAGGCTCCCAGGCATTCAATATTGTGATATTAACACAGTGAATAATTGTTCTACTTCAGCTCCTCTGATGAATATTCCCACAGTCCACTCCTTTCAAGCTGAAGAGTTTTTATTTATTATTCTTGTTCTTTGCCCATCTCAGAGATGAGTGTGAGGTCCTTCACCAAGCCCAACAAGTCCCATCTCATTGACCAAATCCTCATGACTGATCACAAGTGATGCAGAATTAGTCCAGGGCAAAATTCACCAGCCTGGCTTGCAGATTTTGCAGCTGTTGTTGCTTTGCTCTGCTTCCAGTGACATTTGCTATTTTCAATGACATGGCAGCTCATTCTTACTCTTAGCCCCTGAGTAGCAAAACCCCAGAGCAGGCAGGGAAAGGATGTGCTGACGTTTGTAATGTGACTTTTCCTTCTTGAGTGTACACTTATCGAGAATAATCCTGCCCTGGGTCACCTGCATCTCAGGAGAGCTGTGATGTGTTTTGGTGACCATGCTGACCTGCATTCACAAAAGTAAGTTTGCTCAGTGCTTCCTTCATTATATGGCTCATCTACCAATCCTAGACATCTTTCCGAGAATAACGAGCCATCCATTCCTGTGGCTACGTCAGCACTGCTCATATATCATCTTCTGGAGTTGGTCTTACCCCCAGTGATGAGGACTAGTTCCCTCCAGCTGACTGACCATATCTGCTTCGCTGAGCACCTGATCCTGCATCTCTTTAAGTCCCCAAGCACTGTCCCTGTGACTTCAAATAAAGTTCTTACTTAAACTCATATATATTTAAATAAAAGTATATGAAATAATGTAAGAGCACTGCAGCAGCACCATCAGAGTGCGATTCCTATGACATAAAGTTGAATGTTTACATTGTGTCCCCAGAGGATGGCATGAAGGGAAAAATGGAGAGTGCAAAGGGTGAGCTGGCAGCTGGCACTTAAGAGTAGGCATATTCTGGGAGATGTTTACATATAGAGATATGTAAACATAAAAATAGGATATAATAAGATAGGTCAGGTCACATTCTTGTGACCAAGGGCACAGACGTAGCATGGAGTATGACTGCACAGCTAAACCTCAGTGTTTTAAAAATACTGGATGGTTTTATCTATACTGTCTTTTGGGAACAATCCTTGGCTCATGCTGTGTCCCAGGCTAAGCCAGGGCATACTATCCGAGGGGATGAGAATCCATGAGCTAAAACAGTGCCAGGAAGCAGACTGTGGACTTAATTTAATAACGTGGATGATCTCAGGTCCTAGTTAGTCTCTAGCCTGCATATGTAGCCTGTGCCTTCTTTTGTACAATATGAGCAAGCAATGAATAAAGGGCCAAAAAGTACTGTCTGGCTTTGATGTCCTTGCCCTTCTATTAAGAAGAGGGAAGAGGTGAAGATGACTGAGACAAGTTCATTTCTGTAATATCAAATGGCAGTAGAAGCAACAATGGCCATGCACAGCAGCTTGGGAAGTTCAGGCTGGACATTAGAGAAAATGCTTTTCTCACTAGAAGGGTGAGAATATGACAGGTCAGCCAAGAGAAGAAATGGTACCTCTGTCTTTGTAGGACATCAAGACATAGCTAGAAAAAGCCAGATTTGGTCTGATGCAGCACTGTGGATTCCATCTTGGGTTAGACACTTTCGGGGAGTCCTTTCAGCTGAAGTGTCTAGGAATCTCTGATGAACAGCATTTTTCTGTTGATTTGCAAGGCTGGGGTTGTGGGGTTATGGCAGCAGGCTTCCCTAGTTGGGGAATGGCTCCGTTGAACCAGCTGACATTGCAGGGTTGTGAACAAAACACAGAAAGATTTCTTTAAACCCATCAGTGAAGAGTCTCTGTCATCCATTTTTTTTGGGAGAGGCTATGTTTTGCAGGAAGGACAGAAAGATTACTGTGCTTACAGGAACAAAGGTTGGCCTCGTGGCTGATGATAGAGAAAAACTTTAGCTCTTTGTGTTTCAGGTATTCACTTCCTTTGATAACAGTGCCCTTCAGACCCTTCTCTCCTGTGCAGTCATACAGCACAGTATTACTTGGCCATGTTCTCATGGATGTAGACTAGTTCTTCCCAGAGGTCAAAGCTACATCAATTTACACCAGTCAGTAAGATTTTCCATTTTCCACTTTTTTCCCCCCCCCAAAAAAAAGAAAAAAAATCCATTTTTGTCATCACCTGAACTCTCTTTCTGAATTTAACTTTCTCAATCTGGATTTATGGAAATGTCATATTGCATACCCTGTCTTCCTTTTCATCCAACTGTTTGAGCTTGTCTTTTATCAGACCTCTGCCTAGTGCTTAACACAAGAGGGTCTGGGCCTTGACCAGACAGTTTTGATCTGCTCAGTAGCCATGAAAAAAAAATGCCTGGGAAAACCCGGTCAGTCAAATGTTATGTTGCACCTCAACAGGTTCCTAAAAATCCTATCACTTAATGGCATGCAGCAGGGTCACAGGTGGTCACTGAAATGATAGTGACATAGTGAGTCCTTCTTGCTGCACCACAGGTGTTGAGGGTCTTCAGTAATGTAGTGTGTCCAGTACCAGAAGATGTACAAACTCAGAACAAAGAAATATTCCTATCCCCAAGATACACAGGCCAGGTAAGTATTTAATATATCTACTGTTCTACCATGAATAATCAAGAAAAGAATTAAGGACTATATAGTTTTCAAAATTATCTTAAACCTCATCTTATTTGTATATAGAGAGTGAGATGCATGGAAATACACATGTATTTATGCAACAAAAGTTCACCTATCCTTTGAGCCTGAGTTTTAATTTTTTTTAACATGTTGTCCCAATCTTTTTTTTCCCCATTCCAAATTTTTAGGAGTTGTGGAATAATTTTGAGGGTCAGAGAAAAGAGTAAAAATCACCAGTTTTTACAACATAGAAAAAAAGCACCGGAGCAAAGTGAAAATTTTCCCTGGAAAAAATAATTGTTTGTGAAGTCCTATTCCCTTTTGAAAGAACCCTCCTCTGTGGAGGGAGGGCACAATGAGGCTGCTTTAAGCATGGGGTTAATGTATTTCACCTGCAATAATTTATTCTGTAGAGCAGTCATTAACCCTTATCCAGGCCACTCTTCTAAAATGTACCCTGATTGGACTGTGTCATGCTCACAGTTGTAAATTCATGGATCGGACCCCCAGCATCTGTCCCAGCTTTCAGGAAGCCCTCACCCCTCAGCACTGACCCTGCTGCTGCTGGGAATTTGTACCAACCGCTCTGCTGACATCAGCCTAAAGCTGCTTATGTGAGGTTGGTCTGATCCCATGTTGGCCTGAATTCAGTTTAGGACGTGACACGTTTGGATGAGGACTGCAGGTGATGTCCATGTCATAATCCACAGAACTTTCCCTGCTGTTGCTTCTATGAAACAGCACAGCTCACGTCCACCCAGCTGGCTGCATTTAGATCCACATACCAGGTGTTTCCTTGTGGGAAAGGCCCCCAAAACCAGGCCAGAAAGTGCACAAGCAACCAAGCAGCAGAGACAACTGTGGCCAAGGTTTTAGTCTGTGTTTTCTTTTGTTTATCACTGTGGGCCCAATTTGAGCTCAAACCCAAGTCCCACCAATGCACTACTAAGCTGTGGGAAGTGCCACTCTGCCAGGGGCAGGAAGAGCCACCCTCATGTTCTTTGCCATCACCATCACCATTCCTCCCCACTGCAGAGCAGGTGCTGGCAGTCCACTGTTAGATCCACTCAGAGACCAGATTTGGCATTTCTCCTTTACTAGCAAGACAGATGAAAATCAAAGCCCATATATGTTTTTTTTCTACTATGTGGTTGGGCTGGAACAGTGAAAAGAGATTTATGCTGAAAAACAGTTGTAGAAAGAAAAAGATGTCATGAATGTAGTCTCTACCAGAATGGGAATGGGTAAGGGAAGGGTGTTCACAGTACACAGATTAGTAAAGATTGTCCAGGTTGGAAGGTTAATTGAGGTGTGGGTCTTGATGATGTATAAAGGACAAAAATGTCATTTAATGGCTTCATTCACTCTTTCCTATGGAAAGAATTACTTCATTTAGAAAATAGTCTGTTCATTTCATTGCACATTTGGCTGTGGAAAGACATCCCTGAACTGGGGAATGGAGAAAGAGAGAGAGACATCAGGTGTTCCTATTCTACACATGATCCCATCCTCAGTTAAGACCACGGCTGATACCAGCCTGCCATGAGGAGGTGACAGGTCCAACATCCCCTCCCCATCATCTGCAGTGTGGTCAGCTCAGAGAGGAGCAGGCAGCAGCCCCATTGGGACGTCCTGCCGAATCAGCCCTTCACTCCACCTGATTTAGGGTTCTTACTGACCTTTCTGAGACAGGAGGGAGTGAACTGAAAGCTGCAAAGCCTCCTATTCCATTCCTCATCCCCTGCTCCATGCAGTAGCCTCAGGAAAGGCTCTGGCTCATCAGTTTGTTATTGATCCACTTACAGCAGTTGTAATTGCAGAGATGGGAATCACAATTAGAGCAGTGGGAACAGTGTAACCTGTGGTGGTTTCCAGAAAAGGCACATCTCTCATGCAGGAGTGGGCAGAGGTGGTCCAGAGACTGTGTGGTCAGGAGCAGTATAATTGGTCTCTGATTTCCACTTTTCAAACCGTGCAGGCCACACCATTTTTCTCAACCCACACCTCATTGCATGTGGGTCTCACCTTATTTCTCCTGACCTGAAAAGAAACAGATCACTTGAACTCCTAAGGATTGCTCAAAAGCCTGGAAGGCAGAACCGAGCATCTCTGACAGCCACATAGCTTTTGGACAAGAAGACCCTTCTCATGCAAGAAGACATGCAGCACATTCCACTAACCCTGAGATGATCTGGGTAGTCCCTGTGTCCTTCTGCTCTGTGCTGAATAAGAGAGCTCAGAATCCTAAGATCGTTCATTTTAAGGTTTTAAGGTTTTAAGTCAGAACACTTTTTCTGAAGAAGAACAGACTAGGACCTCCACTGTTAAGAGCTAATAAAGCAGGTTTTCACACAGCAGTCTTACTGAACAAAAAAAAATTGTTTTACAGAAGCTGGTAGAGGTCCAACCAACCGATGCTTAGTTTTTAACCCTTCCCATCTAATTAGAACCAGAGCTTGTTCAAGGCAGCAGGAGTGTAATGTTGCAACTGTGGGCAAGGGAAGGAGGGAATGTGAAAAGAGAGAGTGAAATCTGCCCCTTTCAAGAGCCAAGAGATGCCATACTGGTTCTCCCATTTTGTGTTGTAAGGAAGAGGCTGTGCAGCTGCATAACCACATCACTGGACACAGGAGCAAACAGCAGCAGCCACTGCTCATGAAGAGCCCATATCTACTGGCTTTTTTTTTCCCCTAGTAAATCCATACTTCTGCCAGAGCTGCTCTGGATTGGCTGTCCCACACAGCTGTAGGAACCAGCAATAACCAACAAGCATAATTAACAGATTAGACTGTCCTGCTTCTGGCAGAGAAACCTCTCCAGTTTTTTGTGGTCTTCTTCCAGAAGGGTAGGCAAGGACGTGACATATGTACAGCTTCATTTATTCTGTCCCTGACCTGCATCTTGGTCCTGATTCTAGTCTCTTCTCTGGTAACAGCTAATGAAATCTAAGTGTGGGTTTGTTCTGATTTTCTCACCCCTCTCCGTGCTCCCATTTCTGACTTCTAAGATGTCCTGAAAATAATTGTTAGTAGGAAAATAAACAGGACACTACTCTTGATGGTATTCAATTGTATTTTCTCTTTCCCTGATGTCAGCCCCTGGTAGAGGGGGGTAAAGAGGAACTCAGAGCCATCGGAGAAGCTTTTCTGGCACAGACGAGGAACTCGCACTCTGCCAAACCCTTTGCTATTGTTCAGCGTGCACCCTGCTGTTTGTTTGGGACCTGGAAATAGAGCCTTACTGTGAAATTTTAAGTGAAAAAGATTAAAGCTGAGCATAGCAAAGGCAGGTCAAGCAGCAGAATGAGCTGGTCCAGCAAAAGACCATTTTTGCCTTCTGTGACAGCTGATGGTGACAAACAAGAATTTGGTTTTTTTAATGGCTATTGTTATTTTTGGCTTGGAGATGAGGGGTTTTATAAGAGACTGAGCAGAAGACAGAACACAAACCAGGCTTGCATCTTTTCAGGCTCATTTCACAGGGCACCCTTTGTCCCCACGGACACAACTAGGCCCTCCTTGGCTTAGCTCACCATGGTCTAGCACCCACTCCCAGCCTGCTAGGCCCCTGACTTTCACCATTGCTGGACATCCTGCTCATCCAGGAATCCTGTGTCCATCTGTGCTGAGGGTGCTGAGTGCTCCTGCTTGTTTCTTCAAATTTACCTCCTCTGAGTGAAACAGAGGTCGTGGTATTGCAGAATCAGTTCCTTTCCAGAGTAACTTTGCTTAAGCACAAGTTGTATTAGTGAAAAACACAGTTATTAAACTTTGGAAGGATTTCCTCTGCACCACAGGGCAAGGCTGTCCCATTTCAGGGTCACACATCTTCAGGAGTTTCCTCACACCCTGCAAGGGTTCAAGATGTTCCAGTCAGTTCGGGATATGGAAGAGCCAACTTCTGAGGAGACTCAGCTGAACCCCTGATCACAGTGAGTATTGCCACCTCACTTCTCAGACTTTCCTCCAGATGGCAAACAGCATGTGCTCAGTTAAACCGAGTGACAGGCTGCAATAACAAGTGAATACATCAGGAGCGACAGTGAGGGAGAGATATTGCTTAAGGTGACACTCCAGGCTGAATGGAGTTGGTTGGAAGCAGGAGGGTAAACAAGCTTTTAAAGCAACTGCAGGTGGAAGAAGACATCTCAAATCGCCCTTTTCTTCCTCACAGTGAGCATCAGCCTGTTTTCCATCCTGCCAAGCATGTTGCACTGCTTTCACTCTGATTGCTCCTGAAATGTCTTAAGTCTCCACTTTCCCTTCCAGCACAGATTTTTCCGAGAGCTTAAGCTTGGCCATAGAGGGACAGACCAAAGGCTGAGCTGCCCCAGCATCCCATCCTGGAGCAGATGCCTGAGAATGTGCACACAAAGAAAGTCAATTATTCCTTCTATTCTCTCTCAACATCTGGCAGTTGACACACCAAAGAAGGGGTTACACTTTAATCCGTTCTGTCCTACATGGATTTCTCTTGCTGTTTTGACTCACTTTGAAAGGCTCTGAAGGCATTGAAAAAGGTCTGAACTCTTTCCATCCAGAGAGGGCAGTGCTGTTCTCACTGTCACAGTCCAGGGACACCTGTGCCAAGGAGAGATAAAGTGCATGATGAGTTATTAAAGTGGCACAGTTCTGTGTTTTGGTCTCCTAGTAAACCAACTGAAGAACTGCTGGGGTTACAAAAGCCAGGAGCTAATCAGTAACTCAGATGTTTATCACTTGCATGTTTAACTATTTTTTTCCTCAGTTGCAATACCTGCTGGTTTGGGTTATTCCACCTTTATTTAATGAGTAACTACTGGGAAGGGGATTAAATACACCTGTTCTCTCAGCATATTGGGACTTTTAGTGGTGGCCATTTTGACTGTAAGCAGCTGTATCCCACATTCATTAACACATGGAAAGGAAAATTCAAGTGTTTCTAGAGAAAAAAAGAGTTGAGTCTCTTCAGTACAGACCAGTCTGTTCCACTGTCTAGTCTGGCATGTTCCTCGTTCAGTGTTGTTTTGTAGACATGCATCTCCATGCACACCCCAGTATGACTTTACCCATTATATGTTCTCTCAACATCTCCTGTTGTCCTTTCCTGTCCATCTGTTCACACAAAACCACAGAAACATGTGGAGCAGAGAGATCTCCAGAGGTTTTGTGGCCCATATGTCTTCCCTCTGCTCTATGTCAGTGTTTCCATTTACTAGAACAGGAGCAAGGAGGCGAAAAATTTTATTGTAGAGTGAATTTTGGATTAAGTGCTTTCTATAGGGGAGGACCTGTTCTTCCCAGTTTTGCTACTGCTACATGTGTGAAGGGTTGCAAATCAAGAACTCTGTCTGCTCATATGTAACCTGAAGCAATGTGGTCCAGGAGCACTGCAATGGTAAATCAGCTGAGCATGAAGGTTTTTAGCATTTATAAAAGTGTGTTAAGGCAGCACTAAGCAATATTATGCATTTTTTATGCAATTCTTCCTGAAGAATGAGCTGATCTCTCCATGCCTCTTCCCACTCTATCACTCTGATTCCTTTTTGTGTTTCATTTCTCCCAAAGTCCTCACTGTTCTTGGCTGCTTTTCTCTCTCTCTCTTTCTTCAAAATACAGCTTTTAAAGCAACTGTTAAAAAGTTCATGGTGTCAAAGCTTTGTGTATATTCAT